GATGCAAAACATTTCAGAAACCGTACGTATCAAATATGATAATTTTGGCATTATAGGGTTAACATTGAATTCAGTGGCTATCGGTAGTTTAAAAGGGGCATAATCCAGTTATTCACTGAAGTATGCAAAATATACAAAAAGAAGGGACCAGCCAGCTTTTCTTTGTGATCGTTAGGGATGTCTCAGTGGCCCTGAATCATCCCATAGTTATGCTACTATGGGCCCAGACTCCAGGGGGATGACCTGGTTCTGTTTCAGCCGGAGGCGGATACCTCGTGCACACTCAGGATGGAGGATTGCTTTGAAAAGGCTTCAGGCTCTTTGTGAATTCAGCTCATTGAACGTAATGATCTGGAATGATCTGGATCATGATTGGATCATGATTGATTCATCTTTTGCTCTTAAGCGAAAAGTCAAACAGAGTAAGTGTCTCTGTTCAACCATCAGCCTTAAAATCTTTTGAATATAACAATAAATAAGCCAGCGAGATAACAAATGATTTAACCAAATCCGTTCTTGTTTTTGGACTTGTTTTGATGACTCATATTTGAGTGGCTGAGTCTCTGAAGTGTTTCTGGACGGGGTGCTGCTCTCACCGTGGTCAGAGATCTGCTGCTGGACGTGTTTGGTGGAGGTGACGACCACGGCGGCCATGTCGTTGACTTGGCGTGAGGCCTGCTGCAGCGTGTGCAGCTTCCTGTTGTTCCGGTCGGCTTTCACCTGAAATGGCAGCAGCAGCCCGTCAATATTGTTTTTCCTCCCCCTCTGATGCCTTTGTTTGGATGCCCGAGTGATTGAACAAATGTTTCTGAAACTGTTTTCATAGCTAAAATCACTTCCTGGTTAGGATATATTGCCTATAGGAGGCCTAAAGGTGTATACCAATGCCAAATAATGAATTAATGAAGAAAGCCTGTTTTGTTTATGGCATTTGATGACCAACAAAGTGTTTTTCGATACTTGAAACATGCACGTTTTCCTAAGAAAAATAAACGGAGCAAGAACCTGTAATGCATTTCCATATCTAAGTGTCTAAATTAAAGGATGTGGTTAATTTTA